CCAAATAAATATATATATATATATATATATATATATATTATTTGGAAAACAAGTGAAGTGCGTGCTGTTTATTTATCATTGAATTTATTGCTAACTAGTCACAGACACCTACTGTAGAAGAATCCTGAGCCCAAAAACAACTCAGTATATATTTATACTATTAAGAAATATAAGTAAAACCCTTTTTATTTTGACACTGGCAAAAAGAAGAATATCTATATCTTAAATTCTGACAATTGGCAAGCAACAGTCAGGATCATACAGTGGCAAATAGCAATAGAAGAAAACTGCAGCAATATTTCACTAGTTTTGACAGACTGGCAGACCTATTAGTACGTGAACAGTTCATGACCACATGTTCAACCAACATGTCACTGTTCTTAAAGGAGAGAGCACCAAAAGACATAGACGAGACGATCAAGCTGGCTGAACAGTACATGGAAGTAGTATAACTGGCAAGTCCAAGAATGTCCAGTTAAATTTGAAATGGCTGAACAGAAGCAGGAGTTTACCAAAGGCAACAGGAGATTGATAGACAGAAGGGAGAAGAGATGCTATGTTTGTTATAAAATGGGACACATTGCAAAGGAGTGCAAGTCCATTACCAGCAACCAATAGCAGAAACCTCAACATAAAGCACCTGGAGCTATCTGCAAAGACAATGCTGGTAAGAAACATGAAAAGAGTGACTGGCACTATGGATGCTGCTGCCAGAAGAAAGAGAATCAATACCAATTGTCAAATTCAATACATAAAAACATGATTGATCAGTGCACAACTAATGGTCGGCTCAAGTAAGCAAATGAATCAACAGTGCCAATAGTGATGGAAGCATGTTACAAATATCAAGGGATGCCAACAAATCATAATATGGCAATATGTGAAGGATATGTTGGGGAAAAGAAAGTGAAGGTTCTAAAAGACACTGGGTGCAGTAGTGCAGCAAAGAGAACCACTCTAGTATCTGATAATCAGATGACAGGCAAGGTATGCCTGTGTGTGCTAACTGATGGGACAGTGAGAAAGTTTCCCCTAGCAAAAATAAAGGTGGATACTCCATATTATGTAGGAGACCTTGAGGCCATGTGTATTAAGGAACCAATACATGACTTGGTGATAAAAAACATACCAGGTAGTAGAAATTTGGAGTAACTAGACAGAAAGAAGATTGATGAAGCATCTGCTGTCACCACCAAAGTTCAAGAAAAGAAGAGTAAACAAAACATCAAGCTCCTGCAAGTGTCAAAAGGTGACATCCCGAATTTATGTTTGCAGGAACTGAAGGAAGCACAGAAGAAAGACCCTTCACTCAGAAACTTTGGGACAATGCTTGGGAGAAAGTTGAGTACAAAACAAAGGGGAAAGATACTTATAGAATAGAGGACCAGAAGGGAGTTCTATACCAAATCTATCAAGGCAGTTATGCTGGAGAAGTTAAACAGATCATAGTACCAACAGAATACCGGATTCAAGTGATGAAGTTGGCATGTGAATCAATTGTGGGAGGACATCTAGGAACAAAGAAAATAGCAGAAAGATTCACCAGTAACTTCCATTGGCCCGGAAATCATCGGAGATGTTAGTATCATGTGACATCTGCCAAAGGACAATATCTAGAGGGAAGGTAGCCAAAGTGCTATTGGGGGAGGTGCCTCTCATAGAACAGCCATTCAGCAGAGTAGCTATGGACTTGATTGGGCCACAAGCACCTGTGTCTGACAAGGGCAACTGGTATGTGCTGATAGTAGTCGACTATGTGACACGTCATCCAGAAACAATAACACTGGCAAAGATAGAGACAGAGAGAGTATCAGAAGCCCTCCTGAAGATATTTTGCAAAGTAGGCTTTCCAAGAGAAATCCTGAGTGACAGAGGAACCCAGTTTACTTCAGAACTGATACAGGAAGTGTGCAGACTCATCAGTACTCGGCAACTCTTTACCACCTTGTACAATCCTAAAAGTAATGGACTTTGTGAGAGAATCAATGGAGTTTCAAAGAGTATGTTAAAGAAAATGTGTCAAGAGAAACCACATGACTGGGGCAGGTACTTGCAGGCAATATTATTCACTTATCGAAAAACCCCACAAGCAAGTAGAGGATTTTCACCCAAGTTATTGTATGGAAGAACAGTACAAGGTCCGATGCAAATACTGAAAGAGCTATGGATGGGAGAAGAGTCAGAAGTAAGGAACACATTCCAGTATGTGTTAAACCTTGGAAACTGACTGGAGGAGACCTGTCAACTCTTCTATGCCAATCTATTGAAAAAGTATTTTGAAAGAGAAGACCTAACAGGTGCAGCTATTGATGTACAAATGGACATGGCAGGTGTGGCTGTCATGGAAGTAGAATCTGAAGACAGTGACTTCATTACAGACAGATTAGGAAACATGGACCTCAGGCAACACAAGGTCAAGATGAAGATGAGGGATCCTGTTAAGGAGAAGCTCTACTGGAGACCCTACACTAGGAGAGACAGGCAAAGGAACTGCAAATGTTGGAGCAGACTGTATGAGCAGACTTTGTGTATGAACTAAGAACAGTCTTATAGCATATAGTAAAGAAAAAAAAAGTAAATATTTTATCTTGAAGTGGGGTTTATGTCATGATATAAAAGACTGTTTAGTTTAGATATTATTGATTAATTTCTTTTTGTAAGTGAATATTTTATTATTGTTTAGTTTTTGTTATAATAAGAGTTAAGGGCAGACGATTGTGGGAGGGACTGTTAATAATTCATTGATGTTGAGACTACTGAATGTCACATAAAATACACTGATGTTGAGAATATAGAAGGTGGGCAGAAGGTTAGGTGATATAGATATAAATAGCATGAGATGAGCTGGAAGCAGCACAGAGACAATAGCAAACAGATAAAGCAGAAAAAGTAAAGTTACAAAAGGAAAAGTTAACTACCATTGAAGTCATAGGCCTAATGTTTAATATGATAGAGTGAAACTAGCAGTATAAAAAAAAAAGATAAGAAGGATAATTTTATTCTGTCAAAGCATGGTTCTAAAGTAATTGAATTAGCCTGGGTACACTATGACAAAAGAAACAGAGGATCTTCAGAAAGAAGATCAAATGAACTACAGTAACTTGCACCACAACTGTAAGTGAATCACACACACAGAATACTAGTATGATAGTAATAAAGAAGATAGTTTGGCTTGTCAACTGAAATTCTAAAGTAATTGAATAGGCCTAAATGGACTTTTGACAAGAAAAAAAAAAAATTCTACATGTAGTGTTTATGATGTGCCTATAGTATTTATAGTGTGAAAAATTCGTTGCACATATGTGTAACTTGTTCTGAATATATATACATTATTTTGAAAATGAGTGAATTGCGTGCTGTTTATTCATTATTGAATGTATTGCTAACAAGTCACAGACACCTATTGTAGAAGAATCGTAAGCCCAAAAACAACACAGTATATATTTATACTATTAAGAAATATAAGTAAAACCCTTTTTATTTTGACACTGGCAAAAAGAATATCTATATTTTAAATTCTAACAATTGTAATATAGATTTGTTCTGATAATACACAAATAAATTCAATTTACAAATTAGGTGCAATGTCCCTTTTTCCCTTAGAAGATCACATTTAGAATGAAAGTTGAAATTATTAAAGTAATATCTAACACAACAAATTATTCATGAATTTATATTAGAATATAAAATAATTAAAATAATAACAGCTTCAACACATATTTGTCAGCTTCCAGTAAAATATTCTTAAGGATTATGTCTGTGTGTTGATGTTTAATGTCCTTTTTATTTTTTTAAGTTCCCTGGGGTATAACATTAGTTTAGCTTTCATCATCATCAATTAGAATGTCAAGTGTTTGGAATTCCTTACAAACAGAAATCTGGTATCTAAATCATAAAAAACTGGTTAGAAGTTAATGAGTTATTAATGTTACAACTATCATAAAGCAAAACTAC